AACGGGGAGAACTAGCAACACCTGATACTGTCAAGTGTTCTCGGAGTGAATCTATTGCTGATTATGAAAATAATTGAGAACAATTCAGGACTAATTATTGTTTTAAAGGAATGTTCTGTACTCCACCAAATTTTCAGTTCTCGCTACACCACTGTGTGAGTGCCAATTACACTGAATACATTCTGGGTCACTTCTAGCCTGTCAGCCAAGAATCAAGTGTATCCGGAAATGAATATGAGTGTGGTTATTCCCTGAAGTGTGCCAGCCAGTGCGAAAGTATTTTCTGTTTGTGCAAAAATACTTGCCAACCCCAACTGGAGCTCTGGGGGTTCGTATTAGAAGCGAGGGGATTTCCTCTTCATGGTTGCCAGGATGAGGAGTTTAACTGGTGCTGTGATGTACAACCCCAATTCCGAAATAGTTTCATTCAGTATTTCATTCACAATAGAACAGAGACAATATAGCTAATGTTGAAACTGAGAAATTTTACAATTTTATCCACAAAATGAGCTCATTTCAAATTTGATGGCTGCTACAGGTCTCAAAAAAGTTGGGACAGGGGCCTGTTTACCATGGTGCAGCATCCCCTCTTCTTTTTAACACAGAGTGGAGGTGTCTGGGCATTGAGGAGACAAGTTTCTTGAGTTTAGCCATTGGAATTTGATCCCACTCTTGTTTAATACAGGCTTCCAGCTGCTGGAGACTTTTGGGTCTTTTTAACCAACTTTTGTGAGACCTGTTACAGCCAGAAAATTCGAAAGAAGCTCATTTTATGGCTAAAAATGTAAAATGTCTCAGTTTCAACATTTGAAATGTTATCTACGTTCTATTGTAAATAACATATTGGCTCATGTGATCTGATAGTCATTGCATTTTGATTTTATTTACAATGTACACTTTGTCCCAACTATTTCAGAATTGGGGTTGTATGTGATGCTGGCAAACAGGGACCCAGAGATGTTGTGAGCTTGTATGGATCTCTCAAGCGTCTGGTGTGGAAGCTGCAGTTGGTTGCAAGCTGCTCGTCAATGAAATCGTCATCTGCTCCAGCGTTGATCAGGGCAGTGATGGGAAGTTGTATGGAGCCATTGCAGATTTGGACTGGCAGGAGAGGTTGAAGGTTGAGGGACTTTTTGTTCTGTATTCCACTCACCAGTAATCCCCCATCTACTGGTGACCGGTGTCTTTTATCGGGCACCAGCAGATGGGGTGGTCAGGTTGACCGCAATAAAGGCAGACTCAGAAATTCATCCAGTGCTAGCATTCAGCTGGAGTGTGTGGAGTGCGGTTAACCTGCATAGGCTCACTGGGATCAGAAACAGAGGAGGTGGTCGTGGGAAGGCATAGGTGAATAAACCCGAGCAGGAGTGGAAAATGCTGACCCAGGAGACGGAGGGTACCTTCGAAGAGCCCAACTGAGTTCCAAGCGGCCGCCAAGTCAATGAGTTTGTTGAAATCATGCAGAAATTCTCGGGAAAGTAGTTCATCCTTCATGTCACTTTAAAAACAGTTCAGGAAGAAATTATAAAGGGCAAGGTATTCCAGCTGGATGTGGCGGTGATAGCATAGTCAGACAAAAATCTGGAACCCTGAAGTAGCTTTCTGGCTGCCGTATGACGATGGGTGGACCGGTCGAAGATCTTCCTCACGCGGGTTGCAGTTTGAAGACCAAAGAGCACTGGGACAGGAAGGACCAACAGATGCAAGGATGACTACCATAAGGGTGGAGGAAGGTGACGTCCAGTGACAAGAATGGAGACAGGAACCGCAGGAGCAGGCTCAGGTGGAAGCTGCAGCTGTTACAGTCACCCTGACAGAGAATTCATGTTGACGGCAAAAGACTCCAGCATCTCGGTGATACTCTTTAGCTTTGCCAAAAACTGTCCCAGCAGCATGCCCTGTCGATCCAATGGGTGCAGAACTAGCCATTGCTTGCAGAGTCTGTCATGGCATGTTGCTGTCTGTCATGAAGTTGGTTCTGACAGGAGGAGAGGTCAGAACTCATGCGCAGGTAAAGGTTCAGTTTAGGAGTTTTATTCAAAGCCTTGGTTGTACAATACTCTTTCTTATCATGGAATCATGTATACTGACATTAACTGAGGCCAATGAAGCCTGCAACTTTTTAGATAAGTTTGGGTTCTTTTCTGTCCTCCTGAATGAGTCACTGATGTATTCTTGGAGGAATTTTGGAATGCTGGCCTCTCCTAGGAAGGTTCACCATGGTTCCAACTTTACTCGATTTGTAGATAACGTCTCTCATTGCGGTTTGATGGAGCCCAAGAGCCTTTCCAGACTGATATATGTCTACAATGTTGGTCCCATTTGTTCTTGAATTTCTTTAGATTGTGATGGCATGTACTGTTTTTGATTATTGGGCAGAGCCAGAGAAGCTCTTTTTAAATGATGTTTCAATTCAGCTGGGCTGGCAGTAATCATGCCTTAGTGTGTCTAGAGGAATTGAACCTAGTTATCAGTTGAGTATGTTTAATTAGTTTATTTAGTAACTAGGGTGGCAAATACTTTTTCAGGTGGGACCATGTGGGGTTGGATTGCTTTTTTCCTTCAATAAATAAAATCATCATTTAACTCGAGACCATCTGGGATCACACCAGCCGTAACAGCGATGCTGGTATTGTTTTCAGTTCAGCAGCCCTTATTATAATTTCTTCAGTGAGTGCGTACTCAGACCAAACCCTGTTCAGGGAGTGCTCACTCAGACCACACACATCTTCAAACTCAGCCTTCGCTTTCATCCCACCTACTCACTTGTAATGTTTCGTGACTGCATCCCTGCATCTTAAAAGGTTGCGATGCCATTGTATTCACAAGAATTGTCCACAAACAGAAACACACAGACAGACAGACAGACATATATAGACTTGAAAAATGCTGAAAAAATCTTTCATAGCATTTGTGGTTTTAGACTAGTATTGTTGAAGTTTGCCCTGAAGACATACACAGACGAACTTAAAATAATAGCAGCATCACTATTGCAGCTGGTGAAAAAAAACGGCATTTTGTATCCACTTGGGTTCTCTTGGTCTCATATTAAAATTAGTTTGATGATCTGAATTGTATCTGTAACAAATATGTGAAAATAAAAGAAATTGGGAAGGGGGTAAGTGCGTTTTCACACCACTGTATTAGGATCATGGTGAAAAGGAGTTCGGGTTATATAGGGATCCTACAGTAGGTGCAGTAGTGTATTCCTGTCTCGCACAAAAGGGGGCAAAAAATTTCTAATTAAAATTGAATGTGAATGCATGATAATAAGCACTATTGTTAACAGTCACCTTACATGAATAATCTACAACTATATGGACTCCTAGTTTTAGTCTGTCAGTTGATGGACACAGCAAAAGTGACAATTAATCATTTAAAAAGTAGATCAAAAACTGATTTGCTGGGAGTGTTTGGGGTGAAATGTCTCCATTCATCCATAATCTAAACCAGAGGTTGTCAACGTTGGTCCAGTTGTCTCACTGTGTATGTGGTCTTTTGTTCTAATCACGATTGCAATTGTAGGATTTTAAAGGATCTGTGTCATGATTACTGCGCATACTCTGAACATACATCCCAAGAATAAGAATCTGCTTGACTGCAAGTCATAATCTGATTCCATTCTTGCCAATCCGTCCTCATGGTAGCTACTCCGGCACAATTCTTTTTATATTCAAGAGCTTTCTATGGAAATTTGAAGATTCAAAGCACTATTTTAAGCTGTAGCTAAGGGATACAAAGAATGAAAGCTGGTTCCAATTGCCAAAAATCATAGAAGAAGAAAAATACCTTTTAAATTTTGACTTGCAATTGAGAGGATTTACTTCATCCAAAATTGTGAGCATGTGCAGTAATCGTGACGCAGCTGCTTTTACAAGCTGTTACTTTTACTGAATTGTGCTTCTTGTTAATCATTTACCCTCTTAAACCACAAGCTGACAGAAATATCCATGTATGCCATGAATTATAAAAATTCCATATCTATATTATGACACGTTGGAAACAACTGTATAAAAAGAGGGAAAAATTAATGGATCAAATGAAAGATCTAGTTGGTTTCTATAGTAAAAACTAATTGACACCTGATTGTTAAAACTAACCATTTACCATGCAAGCAAATGATAAAGAGTAAAATCTGTTCTGTACCACGTTTCTGCAATCAAGTTCAATACCTCATAACACTTGAGTTAAGCAATGTAATCTGGAGTTTACTGAATTTCTCAGTGTCTTATTTGATCTGCTTCAAACTTTCATTTCCTGAAATTACTCACAATATAGAAAAAGCGTTATATACTGGACAAAGAAAGTTAGGGATCACTCTGATTTTTAATATTGAAATATGATGTGGAACATAATTTGAACGATCAAATATTTCAAATTCGAAAATTGGGGTGATCCCTAATTTTCTTTGTCCAGTATATGTTCAAGGGTCTTTTATTCTTCATGGCATACATGGACATTTCTATAACTGCTTTAAACATGATATGCACTTAAGACAAATTAACAGCTCATTAAAATCATACAATTGCAATTGCAGCAAGCCCCCAGGACCTTGAGAGCCACAGATCAAATCTTTTTTCCATATCTGGGTTGTGGGGGAGCTGGAGCCTATCTCAGCCGACTATGGGCAAGAAGCAGGCAATTTACAATCTCCGATTAACCCAGCACGCTTGACTGTGGGAGGAAACCGCAGTGCCCACAAGAAACTCACGTGAACGCAGAACACTGTAAACCCTGATAGTGAGGTGAACTCAGATGTTCTGTAGAAACTGATTACCTCAAAAAAAAAAAACATAATTGCATTGTGTGGAAGGAACTTAAAGAAAATAAGGTAAAGTATTTTTTTTACTTGTTTTTAAGTGCTGTGAACACAAGATCATTACGCTGGCATACACAATTTTTTTTCAGGTAATCGGTTTCCACAAAACATTTGAGTTCACCACACTTACCAGGGTTTACAGTGTAGAACATGCCAACTCTGCTCAGAAAGGGCAGATTCAGCTGCCAGATAGCTCACTCGGTTAAAGCATGGCACTGCAAAGCAGAAGTGACTAGCAAGGCGCGTGATCGAGCCCCGCTCGTACCAACCGGCAGTGGTCGGCAGCTTTTTCAGAGTAGCGCACAATTGGCCATTGCGCTACAGGGATGCAAATTGGGAAGGGTCTGCCGGGAAGGGTTATATAAAATGGTTGCTTTGTTCGTTGCTTAAGCGCCTCCTGTTGGCCAGTCGGACACTCGTCAGGACGATTCTAAGCGTGTTCATGTTCGGGTATCCTCCGCCCTCGTCCTGAACTTGCGAGGATTCAACCAATGAGTGTATAAGAAGCAGTTGCTGACAGGCACGTGCTTCGGAGGAGAGCCGTGAACTGTCTTCGATCTCCTGAATTGGCAACAAGGGGTCGCATATGAGGAAGCCTTGTACATAGTTCCCCAATTGGGCATCCCAGATTCGGGTGGGATTGGAGATGCCAAATAAAAAATAAATAAATAAATAAACAAACAATAAAAAAAAAGAAAGGCCAAATTCAAATCCACAACCCTCTTGCTGCTCAGTAACAGTGCCACCCACTGCGCCACTGTGCAGCTCAGGTGAAATACCTTTTTTTACCCAAAATGAAATCAGCCACAACAGCCTTGCAAAGTTCCAACATAGCAGTGCTCCAAAACCTTGTCCAGATTAGAGGATGGATTGAAGGGCACCATAATGAATATGGATGCTAAATGGATGGAAAAGAGAGAGGAGTCAGAAGGGTCAACCCTGGGGTCTTACCAGAGAGGTCACGATTAACACCTAAAGCCAGGCCATTCTTGACCCAGAGGACGATGCCGTGATACCCAGGAATGGAACAGGGCAGGGTGACAGGCTGGCCAGCCACCACCACAAGGTCATGGGGCTGCTGGGTAAACACAGCACACAAGCCTGTGGGAGGAAGAAGGAACAGAAATACTAGTTTGTGATACTCTTGGATGACACGCAACTAGCACTGGTCAATTCACTTTTTAATTCCTCTCCCTCTAAATCTGTCTCAAATATGTAAAGTTCAGCTCCAGAATGTAAAGAATTATCATTAATGTTTTGTTCCAATCGCCTTGATTTGCATCAGTAGATTCCGTAAGCCGGAAGGCAGAATTAAAAAATGTATTTAAATAGAATTTATAGGTGCAACGAATGCATGGCAGGAATTCTCTTTTCTGATGCAGAATTTTCCACCTCTAAAAGCTCCTGCATGATTAATTAGGTAAGAAACGCTCACATGGTGAGTGCAATAAGAGGCCTCGACAGAGTTTACATCGAGGAGAGCTTCAGCTTTAGCACCCCAACAAGGCAAAGAACACAAGGTGATAGTAATAAAATGCAGTGTGGATGTCTCATAGCAGTGAATATTTATGTTTCTTACTATGTGTCACTGTATGCATCAAGCTCACTCTACAATACACTTCAACTCAATATCCAAACTGGGAATGAAAATAAGGATAAAGAGCGTAATAATGCTTTCCATGACCTCTTTCTATTACAAAATGTGTAAATGAATACCAAGGTTTTTTTTTTCCTGTTATGATATTGTGGTGTATGTCCTTGCCTTGCACAAATAAGAGACTGAATGCCGAGATTGGAGGAGGGAAACAGTACTGTCATTTACAAAGGGTCTCTCTGGCTTATATCCCTTCAGCTGGATGGGAGGTACGGTAATCTGAAAAATTCTGTTTTGGGGTATTCATAGTTGTCCGAAATTTTGATTCCTATATGAAAGGTAGTGAACTGTTTCCTTTTTTTATAACTACACATTAATACAATCTGAGCTGCTAACATGAAAGGGGAAAACGTAAACACCTAGAAATATAATATAAACGAATGTTCCAGTTATGGTGGATTATGTTACTGTCACTTAATGTCTTTCAACTGTGAAAATTATACGAGATTGCTTACTTAATGTGCTTATCAAGATACTTTTTTTTCCATCGACATATTTTAGAAAGCTAAATTATATCATTTTTTTGATTAAACAAGAAAGAAATTCATCTCAGTTGATATGCTTCTACTGGACAGACTTTCAAAAAAAAAAAAAAAAACTTGCACTGGTTTACTCCCGCCTACAGTCAAAAGTGTTTATCTTCCACTGAAGTACTGTATGAGCTGACATATCAATTGCTTACAGTTTCCAGTCTATTAAAAAACAGATGGTTTCCTAAAGTGAACTCACAGTTTATTGTCTGATATACTTTGTGCGGTTTAACAAAGTAAAATCACATCTACCACTCTAGTACTAATCAAAATACAGAAATATATTTAAGAACACCTTCTTCACGCTTTTTTTTAAAGCACAAACTGCATCCTGTATTATTTGTGCATGTGGATGCACCTACAGGAAAGATCTCTAGTGTGATATGAACATGTTGGAATGTGGCATGCATGCATTAATGAAGTAACAGTGCTACCTGATTCAAATCCTAAATCATGTAAGATGGAATTAAGGGAAAAATAATAATCAAACAAATCTTCAGCAGAACTCACAGCTCTAAATTACCTGCAGTCATATCCCCTAAGGGCTTTTACCTGGGCATAAGGCACATGAACATGAAGGTGAGTTTGAAGGTTAGGCATAAGTATAGTTTCCAAACAGGTCTTTACGCCATGAACAAACAGTGACCACTGGTCATGCTACCTGATGCATGCACATTTTGTATTTTTCCCATAAACCTTTGAAGAGAATTTTGTCAATGTTTAGTTCTGTGTTGTGCAACTCTAATCACTACCAGCAGTGATTGTTGTATCAACATAGTTCATTGGGAATCTCATCCACGGGGTGGACAAAGTATTGGAAAATGGCTTCAAGCTCTTAAGTATTTGAACCACAGTCTAAAAAGCGATAGCAGCTACACTGATTGTGTTATGAGAAGCAGAGAGGAAAACAGACAAAGATCCACGGAAAAGCTGTTTGGGCACTTTAATATGAAATTTGAAGCCGCGGGTGGCGCAAACAGATATCAAAACTCAAAAAGGCCCTGGAGGGTGAACAGGAACATTCTGAGCCAGGTAAAGGGCGAACAGGAGTAAAGAAGAAGAGGCAAGCCATTGTCAGAGACAGGTCTGAGGTCAGTACCGAGAGGGCAATCCGATGATAACAGGGCACACTGGACTATGCACATTTTCAAACCCCAAGGCTTGGAGGGACTAGAAGACTCGCCACTCTAGGACCAGCCAGCACACGGGAAAATTCCTAATGAATAGTTATATGCTCGTTAATGAACTAATTGGGAAAGCATCTATTGGAATATTCTGATTAACGTGGGTTTTTTTTTTTTACCCCTTTTTGCTATGGTGTTTATACACTGAAGAAAGCTGAAACAGTTTCACACTATTTTAAGTAACATCTAACTATATTCTTCTATCTTGGCCAGTCTAATTATTCAAATTAGCTTGTAGACACTTTACTCTAGTGTGCAGCTGACTCAGTTTTTTTCAGCGTACTGCCAAAGTTGGCATTGATTGATTAATTTTTCTTTTCTTTTTTGTTCTTTTGTCTTTATATCTTGGGATTGCATGTATTATGCACTATTCTTTGTCAGCACACACACCTTTTTACTCGCAAATTTGTAAATTACAGCTGTGTGTTTGTTGCCTTGCTGATTGATCTTAGTAATTGTTTTCACCTGACTTTAATGACCTTGCTCAATTGTGAGTTGGACTAAATGCTTTTAGATGTGTGTGTGCTGCTTTCTTTTATCCTGATGAAGATCGCTCTGATCGAAATGTCGACACGCTGAATAAATTTTTGGGGAGAATTGTCCTTCAGTGTCCAGACTTTATTTAATAATTTCATTCGCGGATTCTCAGATTGTCCTGCACCTGTATTCGAGCGGATGTGCATGCTCTACTTTCTTTATTTTTGGATTGCCTGGAAAACCATAGAGAAAGACTCAAGACCTGACTGGTTATTTCTTTGAGTCGTAGCACTTTCCTAGGTCTCCAGTACCTGTTGAAGACAGGAATGAGATAAAAAAAAAAAATTCCAAATGGGCCAAATAGTTGCTACCAGAATGTCAAATGCTTTGGTTGCAAATATGGCAAAATTATTTGTTTGCAAAGAATACGGAGTCAAAACCAAACACTGAAAAACAGCAATAGCATTTAAGAACTGTGGCCGTAATTCCAAGCTGTTGAAAACAGATAGACATGCACTAAGTAGGATGGTTACCCACTAATGACTGCAGTCCAACAGGTCTAAAAGTAACCACAGAATTGATCAATGGGCACTGATCAAAATGGCAAAATAAGTAAGTACTGACAAACTCAACAAGTTATGTAAACATTGATGGTGGAATGAAGAAATGATTATCACATCATGGATGACCATGGGTATGTCTGTAGAGTCAATCAAGTGGAAATAATGACAAAATGTAAACAAAGTTGCAAGCACTCATGTAATTTTCTATTACGTGATATGAAATTGGTAAAAGCAAATGAAAAGCGGTGATGTTACAAATGGATAAATTACAACCAGAAACAGACAGTGCATTGAAATTGACCATCAAGAAATAAGTACAGGTGAATGAGCCATGAGGAGAGTCAAAATCTCTAACCCAATGCAGCAGTGTATTTCTTTTTATCTCTCCCTCATTCTCCTACTGACAGGCAGTGCTACAATAAGAATGTTTCAGTAGAACTGATACTTGAATATCAGTCTACTTGAAGCAATGTCACAATGATTTTGGCAACATCCGCTTTTGTGGTTGTTTGAAAACTCCAATCAAGCAACAGATGCCAGATCTCCCAAAAAAGTGTAAACTTTGGTCAGTATACAAAGACACTAAGAAGAGCTGCTGTCTTTGATTAGTGCCAGTACAGTACAAGGCAGGCAGATGTGAGGGGACATGTGGTGCAAAGAGCAGTTCCCTCATCCTACTCCTTTTCACCATGTCACCCCCTCTCTCATTCCCTTGGGCCCAGAACACATTCATTATCAAGGAGCTGAACATATAACTACTCTTTCTTGCTCAGTGTCAATCCTCTGGCTATTTAGATCACATGTAAAACCACATAAAAGTATGTTTTCAGTTCAGCTTTCAGTCAACAATGGTGGTGCC